CTGATTCGTTTGTTCCATATATTTTTCTGTGCTAAGATCATTTTGTTTATAGACTTTCTTATCATTTCCTCCATTGCTGTTGTTTTAATGTTTGCTATATCTTTATGATTTCCTCTTTTTTTATTTTAATTGAAAGATTTATTAATTTTCTCTGAAGTTACTGCATAATTTAATATTTTCTTTTCAAGATTAAAACATTCCAGTCTATCTTGTTATACTTTTGACTTCATCTCCATTTGGAAGTTCTGTAACTACACAATTTATTCCCTATTTTTGCTTTGTTGTCGTCCTCCTTTACAAATTGATGTCTCTATTTCCCTATTCCAATCTCATAGGTTTTACTTTTGATACTTCTATATTTGGGTTGATTTCTGGGTGATGTTATCACGTGTGCTATTATCAGCTTGTTGTCTGTTATTGTTTCTTTGCTTGAAGTACTCCTTTTAGTATTTTTTGTAAAATTGGTCTAGTTTTAGAAATTCCCTACACTTCTGTTTATCTAGAAATATACTAATTTTACCGTTATGTATGAGGGAAAATTTTTCTGGGTATATAGTTCTTGGTTTGTAATTTTTTTTTTCTTTCAGAATTTTATATATATATATCATATATGTTTTAAATTATACTTTTCCAATATATATGGGTTTGAGAAAGTGTGTGTTAAAAAGCAAAGATATTACTTGGAGGCACATGTACTTGACTCAAGCCATAGTATTTTCAACAGCCTCATAAGCATGTGAAATCTGTATAGTGAATAAAGAAGACTGAAGAAGAATTAATGAATTTAAATTATAGTGTTGGTGAAGAATGTAGATTATATCATGGACTTCTGGAAGAATGAAGAAATCTGTATTGGAAGATGTATAGCCAGTATGCTCCTTAAAAGAAAGGATGCCGAGACTTTGTCTTACATCCTTCCGGCATATTATCAGGAGGGACTAATCCTTGGAGAAGGACGTCATGCTCTATAGAATGGAGAGTCAGCAAAAGAAGACCCTCAATGAGATGGACCGAAACAGTGGCTGCAATAATGAGTGGACTCTAACAGCAACAATTGTGAGGATGTTGCAGGACCAGGTAGTGTTTTCTTCTGCTATACATAAGAAAATTGAACTAAAAGTTGGAACTGCAACAGCAATTATGTGCCTTGATGCTGTATCTGTTTATTTATCTATATTTATATATCTGTAAATTCTAACTAGAAACTCAGAAGAGTGTTTCTACTATCATCTCACTATAAAATGAAAAAACAAATTTAGTACAATTAGTCAATTTTTCCTTGACCAAGTGGCAGAAAATTTTCAAGACTAAGTGACAAAGAAAGAATTAAAACATATATCTGCTTAGCAAAAAAATATCAAAGTACAATGAGTTGAAATTCTATTTGGGAAGCGGTATAGTCTGATGAGAAGTAGTCAGTTTACATAATCCCAAGGCAAGTAGTATATGCACAATATTTGTACATTCTGTTTACAGATATTTAAGGAGGAAACAGAGCAGGGAAAACATTGTTCTTTAAACCAAGTTGTCAGTGAGAAATAACGGGAATGACAAACTTGCCACTGGTTTGAAAATGCAGCCCCTAAGACAGAGTTAATTTCCCATTTGTCTTTGTTTTAATTATCCATTCCTAAGATCATCTGAGACACTCTGGTAGTGCAGTGGTTAAAGCATTCAGCTGCTAAACAAAAGGTTGTGGATTTCAACCAACCAGTGCTCCTCAGAAGATGAGGTAGTCTGCATCCCCAAAATTTAGACCCTTGAAAACTCTATGGGGCAGTTTTGTTGTCATATAAGGTTGCTAGGAATGGGAATCAACTTGATAGCAGTGTTTCATTTTTTAAGATTTTCTCACATTCCTTTATTAGTGTATCTTTATATATTTTTAAGATGAAGCTGTAGTTATTAAAAATAATTGTCACACTTGAAGAACCAAAAACAAAACAAAAAAAAAACTTACTGCCGTCGAGTCAGATCCGACTCACAGCGACCCTTCCTTGGGTTTCTGAGGCAGTATCACTATGGAAGTACATCGCCCAACCTTCCTTCCAAGCAGTGGCTGGTGGATTTGAACTGCCAGCCTTCTGGTTAGCAGTCACATGCCTTAGGCACTATTCTATTCCCTCATATTCTACCTGACCCTCAGATTTTATATCTTCTGTCTTTGGGTTTTTAACTGTTTCAGTAGGAAAATTTTTGATTCCCTGAACTAGGTGTCAAGTGAATCACTAACTAAATTTAAAACAGGGGTGGTTTCTTTCTGCCAAGGTACTGTCAGGTGTGTTGAAAGGGAAAGGCAAGGACCTGCTAGATTATGGTAATAACCAAGTTGGGAAATTTTGAGGTCCTTCGGGAGCTCTGGTAGCATAGTGCCTAAGGCACTTGACTGCTAACCAGAAGGCTGGCAGTTCAAACCCACCAGCCACTCCTCGGAA